TAATTGTTGTTTTAGATATTTCTTTTAAAATAGAGGAATAAAAATTTAGATAATATAAAACTTTAAATTATAACGTATTTGACAATAATAATTTCATAGAAATACATTGATAGTAAAGTGGTTTAATTAAATTTTGAATGTAACAGTGCCAACGTAGAAAGGAATTTTAAAATGTCACCCGGGGGCAATAGGGTTAATCAAATAATTTCTCAACAGTGATGTTGGATGGAATAAAAATACCTGGGTCACAATACATATCATAGGTGTAGGCCCAAGTGGTAATTAAGCATTTAATAGAGAATAACTCACCTGTTATGGCTTCAATCTGACTTAAAGAATTATCACAGGTAGCAAACAAAAATCTTAAAGTGAAGAAACAGCAATTTGATATAAACAGGATTGTAGAAATGTAATCATTCACATGCTAGTCTATAAAGTGTTCAATTATGGGTAGCAAGACCACAAAGCTAAAGACATTACCAAATAGAAAATTTGGTAAGATGTAACCCAAAATTCACTTTAAAGTTATGCAGATACATCATGATGCCCAAGATGGATCAGCTGTACAAGTCAGTTTGTTAATGTGGATAGAGCAAAATCTGTGTAGTACGATTCTTCATAAGGTATAAGCAACCTATTTTGAGCACCTGTAAATAAACCATTCATACAATATAGCAACAAATAGCACTGACTGTACATGGTCATAGACATACATTTGTTTGTTTTGTCAGGGTAGGAAACAATTGGAGAAAACAGTGGTTACCTTCACTTATAGTCCAATAGAATATAAGTATAGAATCTTCCTAGAAAGAAAAATAAAAGAGTATGAAAAGCAGCAAGAGCATAGGTATCAGATCTTTTCCTACCTGATGTTAATAACATAAAAAATATGTCTTCTGTGAAAGATGGAAGAGTGAAAAAGTGGTTAAAGTTTCAAAAGTAAAAGAAACAATGAGTGCAGCTCTGTAGTCTGCAATAGAAGAAGCAGATTGATAGACAGGCAGGGGTGAATTTAGCAATAATTTGATAACATTGGAGCTAGTCACGAAGACAAAAACATCCTCTAATAAAAGCTCACATAAAAGCCAGTTGAGAATAAGTAGATCAGTAGAAGAAGCAGACTGGTAGACAGCCAGGGATGAATGTCAGCAAGAATGTGATAACATTCAAGCTACATAAGAAGAGAATCCAGTTTCTGTAATAAAAGACCACATAATAGCCAACAGAGAATCTGTAGATAATGAACATCAGTGTGAAAGATGGATGTTTGAAGTTAACTTAAAAAAATCTCCAGAGATGCAACAGCATGGAATAACCCTTGTGATAGAAAACACATGGGAAACCACAGTTAACCCAGCCAGTATGTATCAATAGAAAAAACTTGAAATTTCAAGAAACTGACTTTGAAGAGGAGGGAAAGCACAGAGAAAAAGATTGCCCAAGACTGGCTCAAAGCATCCATCATCAGAGAAGCAGGATCTGGAAATGGAGACAAGTAAAGCTGAAGAAGATGGTTGTCTACCATTGCAAAGGTATCTATCAGAGAATGACCAAGCAATTGCAACAACCACTGCAAAGCTAAAAGGTTGATGGGTCCACTCTGCAAAGGGAAGCTTGTGATCTCTGAAAAGAGAATCTAAAAGAATGTTTACAACATGTGGCCTATGACACACTCAGAGATAGGTATGATATGAATGAAACCAAAGATGAAGAGAAACTGCCACAAAACAAAATCTACAAAATCAAGTCACTATATGATTATTGATATACACCACCACTGTAGAAAAGCCTATGGGAACTAAAACATAGTTGTGATGTAGCAAGTGTAGGAACTTTTGATAAGCATGCTGAACTGTTCAAAGATCAAAAAGATTGATACAAGTTTCTGAGTCATGATAGGATCAGGAACCCCAGACAGCATCACAACCCTCAAGAGAGGCATCAATGAAGAGGTGTAGATCTATATTAGATTGAAGAAGATAAGGAACTTACAGTAGTAAACTCCTGACTAAGTATAATTGAAGGTAAAAGTAGCAGAAGAGAAGAAATTTAATAAGTTAATAGGTCTGAAGATAAATTCCACTGAGATGTAAGAATCTATTAGAAGAGTTGTATGCAAGAATGCCCCAATGGAATGGCTTTGTGAAGGGAAGCCATTCTCCCCAAAGCAAAAAGGATTTATTTCTTTGGCAGGAAATGTAAAAGACAGAAATGTATGAACATGAGACTCCAAGGCTTGCCATGTCAGAGGAGCTACATGAAATGTTTCTTGAAACATTTTGATCATAAATTGCAGATGTGTATAATACTAAATAAAATGTGAAGTTAAGGATGAGCCACCCAAAAGACATAGTTTGCTGGATGGTCAACTGGGTGTGTAAGAGACTAAATGTATGAAAAAGTCAAAATATGCCAAACGCTCATGTAAAAGAAATATTGATGTCAAATGACCAGAGAAAACCAGCAAAGCTAAATTACTTGATAGAAAACATATGAAGCCAAACTAAAGGGAAAGACAGTGGACTGATAAAACTACCTCTTGATGGAAAAAAGAAGAAACAATGGGATGATGGATAGAGATACAAACATAAATGTACCCACCATCACTGTCTAATGACCATGATAAAGAAACTTTCATAACAATCTCACATTTTCCATGTTAAAATGAAGTGTCTCTACAAAATAATTAGTTCAGATAGGTCTCTAATCTCCTGATATCTTCAGAACCACAAAGAAATAGAAGTTAAACCTGGAGAAACATGATAAATTATTGCTCCTATCTGAAGGAGGTTGGAGACTTTCTGATCTATAATTCATAAGCAACTAGACTGAAAGGAAGAGGAAACAGTGATCTGAAATAACACCCATCAACAGGGAGATTGGAGATTCATCCAGAACACAAGAGGCACTGAGTGGGTCAACAAGGTTCACCTTACCTAAGTCTATATTTGGCCACTCAGTTAAGTCAATAGGAAAAAGAAAAGGTAGCTGATGTCAATGAGAAGTAGATAATGGAGACAAGACATGAGAACAGTTATTACTTGCAGGTCATTTCAAAGGAAATTTCTACCAAACATAAGATGAAATACTAAAATCCCAATCAGCTCCTGCTGCCATGCTTTGTCTGAATGAGAGAAAAGTGCCGGCAAAAATTCCTGCAAAAACAACCAATATAGGGAAGAAACTGAGGTTAGCTAAAAAAGTTTGTGAGGAATGGGGGAGAGGGGCAAGTACCTTGTAACACAGCAAAGGTGTCAAGGGAATGTAAGAGCCATGTGGTAACAGAAAACACAACAGTGAGAACCACAAATAAGGAAGATTACAAAGTAAAAATGTGATCCTACTTAACAGAATCACAAAAATAAGAGTAAATCGTAGCTAAGGGTTACTCTGAAGGTGCATAACTACATATGTTTGAAATTTTCATGCAGTTATTTGTATGTGGAATGACATTCTTGTTAATCAAATTTAAAAACTGGTAAAACATGTACTAATCCTTTTACTCAGGTAAAGATTGCATATGCCTATGGCTAAAAACTTGTATCACTTTGGCCCTGTGTCTGATTCCTCACTCAGTGAGAGAAATAAGCCCCTCTCATGCATTCCTGTTAACAATTAGTTAATTAGCTGATCCAAAAATTAGGAGAAGGTAGAGAATATAAAGATTCAAGAATCACACAACATGATATTTCTGTTCTTAGGCCTAAGATAAATTAGTTGAAGATTTAAAAATAGAACATATTAGAGAAAGAGAAAAAAATTAGACCTCTAGAAAGCTTCTTCAGAATTAGGGCTAGCTGACAAATCCTTGTCTTCAAGAATGAAAGTGAACAGGCCAAATCAAAAGATCATTTTTTTCATATCATCATGAGAAAAGGATATGCATCACACAAATGAGCATTCATATAAATGTGAAGCCTGCCATGATCACTTATAGACAATTTTTAAATCACAGCCTAAATAAACTGACAATGTTATCATAAGATCTCCCTGCATGCCAGAGGCAGACTATACGAGTTATGAGTAAAGTCTCCAAAGAAGGACTAGAATTTCCAATATTAGTAGAAACTAGTGCAGAAGTATTTATTGCTGACATCAGAATTCATAACAAGCAAAATAAACAGAATGATTGTCAACAAGAAAAATCTGAATTATGACAGGAAAGCAGAGTTTATGTAAGACCTCCTGAAGCATGCAATATAAGTCACACAGAAGATGGGAGAGTGGAGATTTATGGGTAAAATAACTCATGTTCTGCATTACATGAAGGACATTCAGAACTGTAGTCAAATGTTGTTGACAACAAGATAGCAACTCAATAAGAAAAGACTTTCAGTATTTCAGATGCGAGTTCTACTTGATTTCAATCTTAATTTTCCGTTACTTGCTACCACAATATATCATCAGAAAGCTTTTAATATTAGCACTGAGTTGACAGTGTCATCCTTTTAATGTTTTGTAGTTATATGCAACCATAACATAATCTACAAATTTTCAACTGAAAAGTTCCTCTTTTTTATGTATTATTTTAGTATGTAAAGAATTATCATTTCAAAGTATCCAAAGTATCATATGGTGTACAATCAATACTCAAGGTGATTGAGTTTTTTGTTATAAGGCAGAATTCAGGTGCAATAATTCCATTTGACAGATGTCTGTAAATATTTGTTGTTTGTCTTTCCACCAGTCTTGAGTAAATCAAAACTATTACATTTTTTAAAAAAAAGTGGAATCTCTAAAATAATTTTCTGTTGTAATAGTCTCTCTCTCTTAGAGAGTGAGGTGTTAATATTAAAAATCATGACAACTTGATGAATCAGTAACCACTTCAGAGGTTCTACACAGATGCAATGTTCATAAACAAAATGTTAAAGGTTCCCATTGAATAGCAAATTTTCCATCTTTTTTGAGCTATTACCCAAGTTAGAGTTGGAACAATATTTTTTTTAAATGTTACAGTCTCTAGATACTTTAATTATAATTAACAAATGTACACTTACTTGACTTTTACGTGGTGCATCAGAAAACGCTGTGCTCAATACTTCTTCAGTTGCTACTTTAATCTTCTGAAAATTTGGGCGAACAGAAGAATTATTCCAAGTTTCCTTAAACACAGCTTCTTGATGAGCTATGAAAGCCTGTCCAACTGAATTCAATCCTCTCAAAACTATTCCCAAATCACCCACTCTTGATCTTGCCATTATTTCTGCTACTGTAAAGATTAAAATAAGAATAAAAAAAATTATAGTTTTCTAATATCATGTAAACATTGTAAGATACGTAGCAATTATGATTATACACATAGCTCTATCTGTACAATTTGCCTTTTGACAAATACATTAGATTTCACCAATACAGGCTCAAACAAAATGAACTTTATATAAAATAAAAATTAAGCTTTCCATAACAGATAGTTTTATTTAATACCCTTCTTTTTTTTTTTTTCACAATAATATCATTGCACATTTTGTAGTACTTGATGTGATTCCTACGGTCTGGTATTTTATCTTTTTGCTTTATTAATACAACCAATGTTTCTTAATACTACATTGTTCAGCCTAATGTAATAAAATGTTTTATGTAGTTTGTCACACTAAAATCCCTATGATGTGATGACCCTGTAAATGATATACATCAAAATAAAGCATATTAACAAAGATGCTCCCCACAAGACCACATGAAAAACAAACTGCTTCCAAAGATCATTTTATTTTAGAATACATATGTAGCATTTTTTCCCATAATATAAAAATTAAGTGAAAAGTTACACATAAACGTGGATAAAATAAAAGATCCTAGGTTTACAGAGCCAGTGATTTTTCATCTGAAGTAGTTATCAGTCAACTCCCAGTCTAACCATCACATTATTTTCTCTATTTTAAAAGCCTTGCCCTACTTAGTGGATTGTCAGATTCAATGAAATACTCAGTTTCCTCAGATCAAATCACTGAGACCAAATTTAAAAACAAATACCTAAGAATATGGAAGATGACACAAAGTTATTCAACCCTCTGAGGATACCCCATAAGTCTCAAAACACCTTTAACATCATCAAAATAAGCTAAATATATCCTTTCACATCCATTTAGTTAGCATATTTCTTTTCTCTTACAGATCCAACTTTTGACAACTATTTTATTATTTCACTAACACCACAAGAATATAAACAAATCAAGGTGAAATAAAACCATGTGGACTCCTTCATATCTATATTCTTATCTAACAAACTTCAAAATAATTAAGATTAGGAGCACATACCACATCATCAGTAAAGCTATTCCAAAAGTTTATAACTCTCAACTGGCAAATAAATTTGTCAAATAAAAATTCATATTCAGACTTTAAAAGCTTAACATCCCTAAAACTGCAAGTCCATTCTTCCAATTTTTTCACATCATTACTCAATCACTGTACAAAAGTATATCTTAACAATTTTGAAGATCTAATACAAATCACCTTTAATTTTTCTATGCTCCAAATAACACAAGTCAAAACTACACCTTTCCTGGTACTAAAATGATATAAACCAGGTATCAACATATACTAACCCATTTCTGCACTCTTTTCAATATCTTAATAGCCTTACTGTAGTAAGGGGGTTAACACTGCACAAAGTACTTCAAATGAGACCTATTAGTCTTACATAAAATTCTATTTTTTTCAGCTTCTTCCTCATAAATTCAATTTCTAAAAATAAGAAAAAGATCTGCATGTACATTCAATTTCCTTTTTTTTTTCACAAGAAGTACTTGCTTTTTAAATTTCTGCATCATGATTATACAGCTTTGCACTTGACAGTATTTTTCATTCTTAGTTAATATGACTGCCATGAAACTATCAAATAGGATATTCTCAATGGAGTCACACCTTCTCAGCATCTTAGTTTCATCAGCAAATTTAGATATATTACTGTACAAGAACTCATCCAAACAGATATGAAATAATGAGCAAAAAAGTTCTCAAAACAAAGGCATGAAGAACCCTTCTAGTCACATTCCTTTAGTTGTAAAATGTCAATCATCCCTTTTTATTTCCACCTGGTCCAAGTACATAGTCTACATTTTTTAAAAATATTAGAACATTTCAAAACTCACTCCCTAAGCATTTTCAGATCATTCTTACTTGAAAGATTGTACAAAGTTTTTATATTTATATTGAGCATTCGCTTCCCTTGAATTAAACTGTGATAAGGCTTAAACGAGAAAATTTTGTGCAGTTATGAAACGAGTTTCCCAGTTTTCTCTTAAGTAATCCACAGAATAATTAAGAGGCTTGATTCAGGTGTCAAAATTGTTTGGTATCTGTTTGAGTAGTGAAATGTGAAAGTTGAAAATACACGCTTAAATATGAAGGACAATACTAATAGATTCAACATTTTAAGTTATGGAACCTCAGATGTGAGCTTATATGAACAAAAACTTGGTTTCATTTATAATCTTATGTAATGGTTCGCTTGATGATCTGTAATTTGTAAACATGTTGTTAGCAGGGCCAATCATAAGAGAGACCAGGAGGGCCATTTTGGCCTATGCATCAAATTTATACTTTTTAATTTTCTTGGCATTTGCAATTTGTTGTCTTTATACAACTCTCTTCAAATTATATTTCACTCTTTTTTTTTAGAGCTAATGATGGTCTTAGTTTGTTTTCATATGTCATCATTTCTTACTTCTATTGTGGCCAGAGCCCTCAAAAGCTGGAAGTGGCCCAGGCCTCTCTGAACCTCTGAAAGGACGTGGTTGTTATTGTTAGTCTGGAATATTTTAAAATGTTCTTTGATATATGGATGTTATGGGAAATATTTATGTTGATTTATAAAATTAAACAGAAGTAGATTTTTAACTTTTCAAATTTCTTGAGGATGAAACCAGGGGTGACCTTAAATCTCATTAAAATGGGTGCCTTTCTCTCACCTTGCCCTCTAGGTTCTATCATGATTTAGATTTTGAGAATATGGATGGAATTGAAATTATCATCAACCTTACCTAATACTTATGTCATAACCTTTATCACCTTAACATCTTACATGTTGGGAGAAAAACTACATATACAATATAATACTAGTGAAGTGTTTGCTTAAAATTTTACTTAGTAAATATTGTTGTCTATTTCAATCACCCAAGTTTTCTGCCAAGTTCTGGCATGAAAGAATACAGCGACTGCTCCAAAACAGATCAATTATAGAAAGCCATTAAATATCGTCACCAAATAATATAATTTAAATGACCATGACATACTATATAACTCATTTCCTTCTTATGAAAACATAGTTTCTAATTCTGTTAATTTGCATGTAATTGTAAATAACTCGAATATAATAACAGTCCAAAAATCTTACTGCTTTCTTAAAAAGCACCACCTGGCCGTAATTGCTAATAACGGTTTCACTTAATATTTAGATTTCTCTTACAATTGAAACACTGCTATTTTGTTCCGTTAACCCTATATTAAGATATTCATATAAAACAATCAAGAGAAATAGTATTCAGTTTTTTTTTAACCAAAATTATTCTTTTCACACTGAGTAGAAGTACTGAATACATTAAGCTCAAATAATCTTATATAAATAGGCCTGGAGTGGAAATTGAGAGGGGTAATGGTTAGGGCACTCGACTCGCTATCAGTGAGTCGCGAGTTCGAATTCTGTCACCGAATATATTCACCCTTTCAGCCATGCGGGAGTTATAATATGCGGTCAGTCTTACTATTCGTTGTTAAACAATACTCCAAGAATTGACGGTGAGTTCAGCAAGTTCAGTTGTGTGGAGAACAGAAGAACTTGGAAAGAACATAGTGTTACAGATACGCGAGAAAGCTAGAAACTTCTTGTGGTATTCCCTGGCACTGGATGAGTCTACTGATCTCTCGAATACGCCACAACTTCTCGTGTTCATTCGTGGTGTTAATTTGGACTTTCAGATCACAGAAGAGTTGGCATCCGTTTGCAGTATGCACGGAAAAACAACTGGAGAAGACATTTTAATGGAAGTGCAGAAAACTTTGCAAGGCTAATAACCTTCAGTGGAATCAGCTTCCATGTGTTACAGTTGATGGAGGAAAAAAACATGGTTGGAGTGAGGAAGGGTCTGGTGGAGCAGATACGAACTAAGTTGGAAGATCTTCAACTCCCGGGCGCTCTGTTTATACACTGCAGTATACATCAGCAAGCACTCTGTGGGAAAGACTTAGATATTTCTTGCATACTGAAACCAGTCGTTTCTGCGGTGAACTTCATTCGGGATAATGCACTTAATCATCGCCAGTTCCAGGCTTTTCTTGAAGAAATTGATTCTGAATTCTGTGACTTGCCTTATCACACAGCAGTGCGGTGGCTCAGCTGCGGTAAAGTCCTGTTTCGTTTTTATAAGCTCCGAAGAGAAATAGATATTGTTCTCACCGAAAGGGATAGAGCTGATCCACTTCTGTCAGATCCTACTTGGCTGTCAAAGTTGTCATTTTTGATTGACATCACATCCCACATGAATGAATTGAACTTGAAACTTCAGGGAAAGGATAACCTTATCTGTGATCTGTACAG